GGGCTGCGGGTCGAGAGTGAGGGGCACCGGCAGGGCTGGGGGGGGCAGGGGCTGCGGGTCGGGAGTGAGGGGCACTGGCAGGGCTGGGGGAGCAGGGGCTGCGGGTCGGGAATGAGGGGCACCCTCTCACATGGCAGCCTGCAGCACCCGCGGGTGGCGGCTCATGCCCAGGTAGTCGTTGCTGCACCAGACTGAGACCTCGGGGCCCGCGGCCGCCCGGGCGAAGGGGAAGGCGTCCGCCCGGCGCGTCACCGTCTTGAAGACGCGGTAGGTGTGATCCCGGTGCTTGGCCTCCAGCCGCCCCTCCAGGAAGGAATCGTAGGAGAAGGTCCCGGAGCCTGCAGGGGGGAGCAGGGTCAGAGAGAGACCCCCCCCGACACAGCGGTATCCCCCCCTCCAGAGCTGTGGGGCGAAAGGGGAGGCCTGCAGAGTGGGGGCGTGAGGGAGGGGTCACAGAGTTGTGGGGCAAGCGGGGGGGGGGGGCTGCGCAGTGGCGAAGGGCGGGGTCCTGAATCCACGGCTCCCGCTCCCACAGGAGACCTTGGCGTCTAGGACAGGGCTGGGGAATCAGCCAGGGAATATCCCCGGGCCCCCCAGCCCTGGCCCGCTGGGCGCCCCGGCTCCAGAGAGCTCTGTTCGAATTGGGAACGGTGCAGAGACGGGCAAGGAAACCGACCCAGGGGCTGGAGGAGCCACCGTAGGAGACTGAAAAGTTCAGCTCGGAAAAGAGCCCACGGAGGCGGGAGGTGAGCGCGGGCTCTGTATTCAGGACTGGTGCAGAGAGAGGGAACTGGGGGGCGTCATTCACCCCTTCCCCTAACACAAGGGCCAGGGATCCCCCCACAAATTCAAGAGGCGGCTGGTTTCACACAAACACAAGGCCGCGGCGCAAGCCGACCTGCGGAACTCCCTGCCGCAGGATGTTGTGAAGGCCGGAACTATAACTGGGTTCAGAGAAGTTCCTGGAGGCTAGATCCAGCAATGGCTGGTAGCCAGGAGGGGCAGGGAGGCAACTCCATGCTCCGGGTGTCCCTAAACCTTCACTGGGGTCGCAGGTTTGATTTCTTAAGTCAATCTGGGCCGTTTTTCCGAAGGGATCTGCTCCAGGAATTATTATTGTGGGGGTGGGGGGGTGTTCTCTGGCCTGCGCTATACGGGGGGGGGTCACTTCTGGCCTGGGGGGTGTCTATGAATCTCACCGAGGGGGGGTCCAGGGTGGAGGCTGAGTTGAATGTTGGGGGGGCCCCAGTGGAGGAGGGGGCGGTCATTCCATGAGCCGGATGCCCTTGGCTCCCCGCCTGCTGATCTGGACTGAGCCCGGGTTGAAAGGCCGCTGGCAGAGGAGGTCAATTAACCAAGCAGGCTAATTGCTGAGGGAGCTGATTGGGTGGAAGGAGCCCCCCCAGTTCCCCCCCCCACACCCACTCTAGGGCTATATAAGCCAAGGGGGAAGACAGGTGAGGCTCACAAGACCTGGTTATGGCTAGCTGGGAAGGAAGGGCCCCCCCAGAAGAGCACCCCACAGTCAAACCACTGTTGTCCATCCCCTCTCCGTATCCCCGCCAGGCGTCTCCTCCGTCCGACCCGATGGCTCCCCTCAGACCCACGGGCCCATCTAACCCGGTATCAGGCCTCACCTGGCATGTTGTCCTGGAGCAGGTGGGTGGGGAGGAGCCGGGCGTCGGGCCCCGGCCCCTCATGGCCCAGAAATTTCTTCCGGAGGCTGGACTGGACCTCGCGGAGCAAAGAGCTGAGAGGGTCTGGAGGGGCACAGAGATGGGGGGCGAGTGGGTTAGAGTGTGTGGGGCTGGGAGCCAGGACTCCTGGATTCTCTCCCTGGCTCTGGGAGAGGAGTGGGGTCTAGTGGTTAGAGCAGGGGAGGGGCTGGGAGCCTGGCCTCCTGGTCAGAGCAGTCCTCACCTGCCTTGTAGACCTTCACATCCTCCTGCACCTCTGGCCCAGCGCGCTGAACGATCCGGCTCCGTCCGCCCCGCACCTCCGACTCCATGAAGGGGCAGTGGGTCTGGGAAGGGCTGGAGGCTGCTTCTGGGGACCCTGACTCCTGGGGGACAGATCCTGCTGCTGGGGAGAGACAGCCAAGTGAAAGGGATGGAACCCAGGAGTCCTGGCTCCCAGCACCCCCCCACACCCACCCCGCTCTAACCACTAGACCCCGCTCCCCTCCCAGAGACGGGGAGCGAACCCAGGTGTCCTGGCTCCCAGCCCCACCACTGCTCACCAAGTAGGATGGGGTTGTCCATCCCCCTCTGCAGGTCTGGGGAGGAGCCCATCAGGGTCCGAGCCACCATGACGGGACATCGCTGGGCGCTGCTCACCAGCAGGGGGCGAGCTTTGACCAAGAAGACGCTGGGGTCCCGGGTCAGGAAGGGGCAGCGCTGGAGGAAGGAAGCCATCATGCCGGATTGTGGTGCTGCCGAGGAGAAAGAAAGGGCGTGAGGAACTCAGGCGTCCGGGACCCCCGCCCTGCAGCACGGCACATCCCCACCCCCCCAGCTCTTCGGGGGAGGAGAGAACACGCAGATACATCTGGCCAGTTGTGCCTGGAGGGGTATGGCGGAGGTGGAGAATTTCCTTCCCGACCCTCGGGAGCCCTGAAGCATGTGATTGGCCTATTGGCCAAATTTGCCCCTCCAGGATTTTTTTTGGGGGGGAGGGGCAAATCTGAAAATGGAAACGGGGGGGGGCACCTTGGTTCAGTACAGCCACACCGGTAAGCACCTGTCTGTTGATAGATCAAGGTGGGCAGAAATCGACGCCTTCCAGCACACCAGTGCCCCCATGGAGACCCCCCCTCCGAATGACTCACCCCCCCCATCCCAGAGGAGTAACAATAGGGGGACAGGTTGAGTGGGAGCATTGGAAGGGCCCATCCACCAAGTGGGATTGGAGGGTGGGCGGAGGTGGGTGGATGGGACCCGTCTCCGTCCCATGTCCTGTCGGTCTTTATGGAGCCGAGGTTGTGTGAAAGTCGGCGGGGCTGGGAGCCAGGACTCCTGGGTTCTGTCCCAGGCTCTGGGAGGGGAGCAGGGTCTAGTGGTTAGAGTGGGGGGGAGGTTGCTGGGAGCCTGGGTTCCACCCCTTTCACTTGGCCATCTCTCCCCAGCAGCAGGGCGGGGCCGTGTCTGCTGGAGGCTGATAAGAGCCATGGGGGGGGCTCACCCAACGCAGCTGTGGGGAGAGGGTTGCGGGGGGGAGCACGGATGGACGGGGAGCAGAGGGGAGGCCCTAGAAGAATGATGCCCCAAATGCCTAGGGGATTTTATGGGCGCAGCACCGCCCAGGCCCCATTCCCTGCCCCTCAGGACTCAGCCCCCCCCGCTGTGGGGCCAGATCAGAGCCGGTGCCCCTTCAAGGGGCAGGGCCCCCTAACAAGCCATGGGGCTGAGTTATTGGTGTCACCGGGTTGCTGATGGCCCCCAGCTGGCTGAGCCCCCCCAGTAGAAACACCCCCAAAACCCCTCCAGGATTAATCACTTCTACCAACTGAGCCCCCCCTTAGATTATGCCCTGCTCCCCCCATCCCTCCAGGTGTGTCCTCCTCAGCTGCCCCTTCCCCCTAACCAGCCCCGCAGATGAGTCCCCCAGCAGCCCCCTGCATCCCCTAACCATCCCCCCATGCTCCCCCCCCCACTGGCCCCCTGTGCCTCCCGGCTGACCCCCATTACCTGTTGTCCTGCACTGAGGACGAACAACCAGCACTGCCTGACGCACCCCCAGCAAGGGCTGCCCGGGCCCCTGCTCGCCAGCCCCACCCCATAACGGAGCCACCCAGGCCCACAGATAAGGGCAGGCTCTACAGAGCCGGGGGCGGGGAGGGAAAGGCCTGTGTCGCAGTTTGGGGGGAACAACAGGCCCAGAGGCTGAGCCCCGGATGCCTGGGTTCTATGTCCCAGCAACCCCCCCAAAGTCACCCTCCCTGGGAGGAATGGGGCTGAGATCCAGTAAACTCATTTCATGCGCACAGGCCAGGTCAGAACTAATCACCCACCAGCCAGAAATACAAGGAGCCCTGACTCCCAGCCCCCCTGCAACCACTGGACCCCACTCCCCTCCCGGAGACAGGAGAGAACCCAGGAGTCCTGGCTCCTGACCCCCCCCCCGCTCTAACCATTAGACCCCACTCCCCTCCCAGAGCAGGGGAGAGACCCCCCGAGTCCCTGGTGTTTGTAGGCGAGGCTTTGGACTCGCGGGGGCTGTGGGTGGGAATGGGGGCGAGGGCGGGGGCAGGGACAGAGCTATGGGGGGGTCGGGTGCGGGGGGGGGAGCTGCAGGTGGCCAAGGGCAGGTGTTACAGGGTCGATGTTACCTCCCAGCACCCCGGGGACTGGGGGGGGCGGGGCCGGGACAAGCGATGGGGGGAGAGCAGGGGGCGGGAGGGATGCAGCAGAGGAAGAAGGGGCGGAAAGCTGGGGGGGCAGGGCACGGGGGACGAGCGGTGTGGGAGGGGCCGGAGGTGGAGCGTGAGGACGGGGGAGGAGCTCGGGGGGGTCTAAGGGGAGGAGCAGGTGGAGGGGGGAGGAGTGAAGGACAGGGTGGGGGGAGGAGCTTGGCGGGGGGGCCGGGGGAGGAGCTTGGCGGGGAGGAGCTGGGGCGCGAAGGAGGAGCGTGGCGGGGGGGGGGGCCGGGGGAGGAGCTGGGGGGCGAAGGAGGAGCGTGGCGGGGGGGGGCCGGGGGAGGAGCTGGGGGGCGAAGGAGGAGCGTGGCGGGGGAGGAGCTGGGGCGCGAAGGAGGAGGAGCGTGGCGGGGGGGCCGGGGGAGGAGCTGGGGGGCGAAGGAGGAGCGTGGCGGGGGGGGGCGGGGGAGGAGCTGGGGCGCGAAGGAGGAGCGTGGCGGGGGGGGGGGGCGGGGGGGAGGAGCTGGGGCGCGAAGGAGGAGCGTGGCGGGGGGGCCGGGGGAGGAGCTGGGGGGCGAAGGAGGAGCGTGGCGGGGGGGGCCGGGGGAGGAGCTGGGGGGCGAAGGAGGAGCGTGGCGGGGGGGGGGGCGGGGGAGGAGCTGGGGGGGGCCGCGGTGCCGGGTGCCGTCACCAGACGATGTTCACCCGGGGGTCTCGGCGCCGACGCTCCTCCCGCCCTGTGAGTGCTGGGGGGGTCTGGGGGGGGAGCGCCCAGGGGAACCAAGCACGGGGCCTCCGATCCCGGACACACGGGCTGGGAGAACGGGGGGTGGGGGGGGGCGCTGTCTCCTGGCAGTCAGGGCCGGGCGCCGGGGGGGGCCGTGGGGCAGGAGGCTGGGGGGAGAGCAGGGGGTTGGGGGGGTCACTGTCCCCTGGTAGTCAGGGCCGGGCGCCGTGGGGCAGGAGTTCGAGAGGGGGCTGGGGGGCGCAGGCCCCTCTCCCCTGGCCGTCTGTATCAGCCCCGGCACTAGGGAGCTGTGTGTTTTGCTGTTGACAGATGGGGAGTTTTCTCCCCTCCCGCTGGGGATGGGGCAGGAATGGGGGTGTTACCTGCTGACCCAGCTGGTTGACTCAGTTTCCCTCCCCTAGGACAAACCAGCTGTGACATCTGCCCTACATGGGCGCAGGGCAACTCCTGGTTACGATTGCCCCACTTCCCATGCTGCTGCCCCTCGTCAGACCCACGGGCCCATCTACCCCGGTGTCCCCCCTCCATCACCTCCAGTCAGACCTGGGGGCCCATCTACCCCGGTGTCCCCCCTCCATCACCCGCGGTCAGACCTGGGGGCCCACCTACCCCGGTATCCCGCCTCCATCACCCCCGGTCAGACCTGGGGGCCCACCTACCCCGGTGTCCCCCCTCCACCACCCGTGGTCAGACCTGGGGGCCCACCTACCCCGGTGTCCCCCCTCCACCACCCCCGGTCAGACCTGGGGGCCCACCTACCCCGGTGTCCCCCCTCCACCACCCGCGGTCAGACCTGGGGGCCCACCTACCCCGGTATCCCGCCTCCATCACCCCCGGTCAGACCTGGGGGCCCATCTACCCCGGTATCCCGCCTCCATCACCCCCGGTCAGACCTGGGGGCCCATCTACCCCGGTGTCCCCCCTCCATCACCCCCGGTCAGACCTGGGGGCCCATCTACCCCGGTGTCCCCCCTCCATCACCCCCGGTCAGACCTGGGGGCCCATCTACCCCGGTGTCCCCCTCCATCACCCCCGGTCAGACCTGGGGGCCCATCTACCCCGGTATCCCGCCTCCATCACCCCCGGTCAGACCTGGGGCCATCTACCCCGGTATCCCGCCTCCATCACCCCCGGTCAGACCTGGGGCCCATCTACCCCGGTGTCCCCCTCCATCACCCCCGGTCAGACCTGGGGCCCATCTACCCCGGTGTCCCCCTCCATCACCCCCGGTCAGACCTGGGGGCCCATCTACCCCGGTGTCCCCCCTCCATCACCCCCGGTCAGACCTGGGGGCCCATCTACCCCGGTATCCCGCCTCCATCACCCCCGGTCAGACCTGGGGGCCCATCTACCCCGGTATCCCGCCTCCATCACCCCCGGTCAGACCCACAGGCGCTTCGAGCTCAATACCCCCCCACCCATTCCCTCCAGGGGGACAGTTGAGTGGCGGGTATGGGGGGGTTAAATGGTGGGGGATAATCCAGGCTGTTTCACCGGACCACGTCACTTCCCCGGTGTTGGGGGTGGGGATTGTCTCTCATCTGGGTCAGGATTAACTCGCTGGTGGTATTAAGGAGTCAGGTTTAATGCGGCTTTGGGGGTCAATCCCCTCACGAGGGGTGTGGGGAGGGGGCTGTGGAGTGGGAAGGGGTCTATGCGTGTAGGGGGAGGGGGCCATGTAGGTACGGGGGGGGTCTGTGGGGGAGGAAATGGGGGCCTGTATATGTATGGGGGGGTTGAGGAGGGGGAGGGGAGGACAAGGAGCTGTGGGGGCAGTGACGGGGCTGTGTCTGAGGGCAGGAGGACAGGACTGGGGGGGAATGGGGGGCTGTGGGGGGAGAGGGTTTCCTGAATGGGGGACTGTGGGGGGGGAAGATGGGGATCTGTGTCTTGGGGGCCCCTGAGTTGGGAGGGGTAGTGCTTGGGGGTGCTGTGTCAGGGAAAGGGGTCCCAAGTCAGAGGCCATGGGATAGGAGGGGAGGTTGGGGGGCTGTGTATGGAGACCCGGAGTGGGGAGGGTTGTGGGGAGGGACGGTGGGGGTTGGAGAGGGGGCACAGGGTCACTGTGGAGAGCGGGGCAGGAGCAAAGGTTGTGGGGGGAGCTCCCGGCTGCTCCAGCCCCGGCCTCTCCCAGCAGGGGGTGCTGTGGGGAATGGGGGTTTATTGGGGTGTGAATAGGGTCCGGGGGGGGCTTTGTCTTTCTCTCATTCACCCCCCCTCCCCGGCTCGTCTCCTACCCGCCCCCCCCCGCCAGGCTGGGTGCTGTCCCGACCCACCCCACCTCGGGCATGGGGGTGGGTTCCTCGGCACGACCTCCCCATATTTGGTCTCCCCTTGACGTGACCTTCCCCAAGGGGAAGGGGTGGGTCCCCCCAAATACAACCCCCAGCCCCTCCCACTCTCTGCCCCCCGCCCTTGGCCACGGCCCAGCTCTCGGCGTGTGTCACGCTCCACTGAGCCGAGCTGGGGCAGGTCCTGGCGTGTGGGGCGGCTCGCGCCTCCCACAATGCCCTGGGCCGGCCCGGTTGCGTCTGAGCTTCCACAAGCCCCAGCGTGACCCAGGTGGCCCGGCGCCGCGGCTCCCACGAGCCCCCTGCATGGCTGAGGTTGGGGTCTGGACTCCCACCACGCCCTGGGGCGCCCGGGTTGGGGTCTGGGATCCCACCACGCCCTGGGTGCAGGGGTTGTGGCTTCTATCCCTGCCCCAGACCTGCCCCCCGGCTCTGGCCTCTGCCTTGGCAGCTCAGAGACCGGGCGCGTGGCCGTGGGGCTGGAGAAAGACACCCCCGCCCCGTCTGGAGTTGGTGATGGGACCCAGGAGTCCTGGCTTCCAGACCCCCTCCCTTCTGCTTTAACCACCGGACCCCACGGTGTGGGGCGGGGGGGCCGGGGCGGGTGGTGATACTCTGTGTCTCTGCCCCGCAGCCGCCCGACGATGCCGACCCTGACCGGGGGCAGCCGTGCCACGCGTGTGGGGACCAGTGTCCCGGCTTCCTGGTGCACGGATGGAGGTAGGGACCCTGCGCTGGCCTGCTGGCCCCCTGGCATCTACGCCTCCCCCCTGGCACCCTGCTGCCCCCTGGCATCTACCCTGCTGCCCTCCTGGCACCCTGCCCATCCCACCCCACTGCCCCCCCAGCACTCGCTGCCTCCCGGCACTCTGCCCATCCCACCCACAGCTGCCCCCGGCACCCACCCTGCTGACCCCACTGCCCTCCCAATATGAGGCGGCCCCAGAGTAATGGGCCTGGCCTGGTGCCCTGGGTGGGGGGGACTCAGACAAGCTGGGCCCTGTTCCCAGCCCATTAGCACTGTGGGGCCCAGGCCATTGGGGTTAATGGGGCGAAGGAGACTCTCTGCACCTGCTGCATGGGGAGGGGAAGGGACCCCCCCACTCCAGACACCCTCTGGGGACCCCCCTCCCTGTGACCCCCTCCCCAAGAGACTTCTCACCGCCCCCCGCCCCCACCCGTGCCCAGGCTGCAGCCCCACTCTCCGTCCTCCAGGAGTCACTCTCTGCTCCAGTGTGTTTATTGTAGGGTCTCTCCGGGGGGGGGGCGTTATCATAGGGTCTCACCCAGGCCGGGGGGCTGTGCGTTATTGTAGGGTCTCTCCCAGGCCGGGGGGGGGCGTTATTTTGTAGGGTCTCTCCGGGGCGGGTGGGGGCGGTGCGTTATTGTAGGGTCTCTCCCAGGCCGGGGGGCTGTGCGTTATTGTAGGGTCTCTCCGGGGAGGGGTGTTATCGTAGGGTCTCTCCGAGGCCGGGGGGGCGTTATTTTGTAGGGTCACTCCGGGGCGGGTGAGGGCGGTGCGTTATCGTAGGGTCTCTCTGGAGGGGGGGGGCTGTGCGTTATTGTAGGGTCTCTCCGGGGAGGGGCGTTATCGTAGGGTCTCTCCGAGGCCGGGGGGGGCGTTATTTTGTAGGGTCACTCCGGGGCGGGTGAGGGCGGTGCGTTATCGTAGGGTCTCTCTGGAGGGGGGGGGCTGTGCGTTATTGTAGGGTCTCTCCGGGGAGGGGCGTTATCGTAGGGTCTCTCCGAGGCCGGGGGGGGCGTTATTTTGTAGGGTCTCTCCGGGGCGGGTGAGGGCGGTGCGTTATCGTAGGGTCTCTCTGGAGGGGGGGGGCTGTGTGTTATTGTAGGGTCTCTCTGGGGGGGGCGTTATCGTAGGGTCTCTCCTCCCCCAGGAAGATCTGCCAGCACTGCAAGTGCCCCCGGGAGGAGCACATGGTGCGGGCGGTGCCCGTCGACCTGGAGCGCATGATGGGCCGGCTCATCTCGGACTTCCAGCGCCACTCCATCTCCGACGACGACTCGGGCTGCGCCTCCGAGGAGTACGCCTGGGTGCCACCCGGCCTCAAGCCGGAGCAGGTGAGCCCCGCCCCCTGGGGGAGCCCCGCCCCCTGGGGGAGCCCCGCCCCGTAGTCAAATCTCTGTCTCATGGGGCAGGATCCCATAGCCCCACCCCTGTGATCATAGCCCCGCCCCCTGGAGGGAGCTGTCCCATAGCTCCACCCCATGGCCACAGCCATCGGTCCCGGAGGTGGAAGCCACGCCCACACAGGTACATGGGCACCGCCCCCCATTGGGATCCTAGACCCGCCTCCAAGGGGGCCAAAGCCACGCCCACGTAGGGACCAGAGATACCTGACCCGGGGGACTCTAGCCGTGCCCCACGGCGGGATCGAAGGCAGGACACCGCCCTTTTGGCTCCTCCCCCAGTGGCGTCCCAGCCCTGCCCGTTTGGCTTCAGGCCCCTCCCATCGCAGCCCCAACCCAGCTCTGTGACTCCGCCCCTTGGGGTGGCCAGGCCACGCCCCCTGAGCTTGACCACACCCCCCCCCACTGGCCCTTCTCCCCACACCAGGTGTATCAGTTCTTCAGCTGCCTCCCTGAGGACAAGGTGCCCTATGTGAACAGTCCCGGAGAGCAGTACCGGCTCCGCCAGCTCCTGCACCAGCTGCCCCCCCATGACAGCGAGGTGAGGGGCCAGGCTCTGGGGGGCGGGGAGCAGGTTGGAGGCCTGGGCGGGGGGCACTCTCCTCTGGCCGGCCGGCTCCGTGCTGTGGGAGGAGTCCCTAAATGAGATCCGGATCTCTTAAAAATTCCCCTGGCGTGTTTTCCCCCAGGAGACCAGGAGCGAACCTCGGCGTCCAGGCCAAATCCCAGCTCAAGGGATTCCAGTTGGCCTCCCTCGGTCGCTCTTCCCACCCCAGACTGGTCTGGGATGTCCCTGTGCGGCTGTTCCCTGGCTGCCCCGCCCCAGAGCTGGCTGCATCTCAGTGCCGGGCGAGCCGTCCTCATGTGACGTTATGTGCGGCTGTTCCCCAGCTACCCCGCCCCAGAGCTGGCTGCATCTCAGTGCCGGGCGAGCCGTCCTCATGTGACGTTATGTGCGGCTGTTCCCCAGCTGCCCCGCCCCAGAGCTGGCTGCATTTTGGCGCTGGCTCAGTCGGTCTCTCTGTGTCCCAGGCTCAGTACTGCAGCCCTCTGGAGGAGGAAGAGAAGAAGGAGCTGAAGGTTTTCTCCCAGCAGCGGAAGAGGGAGAATCTCGGGCGAGGGACGGTCCGGCTGTTCCCGGTCACCATTACTGGTGCCATCTGTGAGCAGGTACCCAGCACACCCCCCGCCTGTGCCCTGTCTCCCCACTCCCACCCCACACTCCGCTTCCCCTAGTGGGATTTTGGGAGCAAACACCCCCCACCCCTGTGGGCTGTGCAAAGCATTGTGGGGGCTGGGACGCCACCCTTGGCCAGACAGCGAGTTGTGGGTGCTGACTGGGAGCTCTGGGAGGGGAGTGGGGGCTAGTGGTTAGAGCAGGGGCAGCTGGGAGCCAGGACTCCTGGGTTCTCTCCCCGGTGCTGGGAGGGGAGTGGGGGCTAGTGGTTAGAGCAGGGGGGGGCTGGGAGCCCGGACTCCTGGGTTCTCTCCCCGGTGCTGGGAGGGGAGTGGGGGCTAGTGGTTAGAGCGCGGGGGGGGCTGGGAGCCAGGACTCCTGGGTTCTCTCCTGGCTCTAGGAGGGGAATGGGGGCTAGTGGTTAGAGCACGGGGGCTGGGAGCCAGGAATCATAGAATATCAAGGTTGGAAGGGACCTCAGGAGGTCATCTAGTCCAACCCCCTGCTCAAAGCAGGACCCATCCCCAATTAAATCCTGGGTTCTCTCCCCGCTCACGTGCTGGGGGATCTAATCCCATACTGAGCCCTCAGTCCTGGCCAGGCTGCCCAGACTTGTCTGTATGGGGGTCGGGGGGGCGGGGGCTGCACCCAAAGCCCCACCCAGAGCTCGGCGCCCCGCCCCCTGCCCTTGGAGGCCCCTGTCAGCAAGCAGCTGCACAGTGACATCTACAGGCCAGAGGGGGCATTGCAGCATCTGACGATATCCTACCCCATTCCCCGCCCCCCCGAGGCGAGCCAGCCTCCTGCCCTGGGGCCGGGGGGGAGCCGGCGCCCCCTGGAGGGGACAGGCCCCAGCCCCGTTCCCTGCCCCCTGGAGCCTGCCAGCCTCCTGCCCTGGGGCCGGGGGGGAGCCGGCGCCCCCTGGAGGGGACAGGCCCCAGCCCCGTTCCCTGCCCCCTGGAGCCAGCCAGCCTCCTGCCCTGGGGCCGGGTGGGAGCCGGCGCCCCCTGGAGGGGACAGGCCCCTGCCCCGTTCCCTGCCCCCCGGAGCCTGCCAGCCTCCTGCCCTGGGGCCGGGGGGGAGCCGGCGCCCCCTGGAGGAGACAGGCCCCAGCCCCGTTCCCTGCCCCCCGGAGCCCGCCAGTCCTGCCCTGGGGCCGGGGGGGAGCCGGCGCCTGGCTCCCTGTGACCGGTCTCTCTCTCTCTGTCTGTGCGGGGCAGTGCGGGAAGCAGATCCGCGGCGGGGACATCGCGGTGTTCGCCAGCCGGGCGGGGCACGGGGCCTGCTGGCACCCCCAGTGCTTCCAGTGCACGACCTGCCGGGAGCTGCTCGTGGATCTCATCTACTTCTACCAGGAGGGGAAGATCTACTGCGGGCGGCACCATGCCGAGCGCCTCAAACCCCGCTGCCAGGCCTGTGACGAGGTGCGGGGCAGGGGGCTGGCTGGGGGGCAGGGGCCTGGGGCCGACACCGGGGGGGGCAGTTTGAGGGGGGCAATATGGGGGCTCTGGAGTATGGCGGGGGGATCAGGGGTCCGGACGGTACTCCGTGGGTGGGATTGTGGGGTCCGGGAGGATGGGCTCGGGGGAGGGGGGATCTGGGGGGTCCTGTAGGGGACCGAGGGGGTCCCCCCAGCGGGTCAGAGGGCCGTGCCTCCATCTGCCCCCTCCCGCCCCCCGCAGATCATCTTCGCCGACGAGTGCACGGAGGCCGAGGGCCGCCATTGGCACATGCGCCATTTCTGCTGCTTCGAGTGCGAGGAGGCGCTGGGCGGGCAGCGTTACGTCATGCGCCAGAGCCGCCCCTTCTGCTGCCGCTGCTACCAGGCCCTCTACGCGGAGTACTGCGACGCCTGCGGGGAGCCCGTCGGTACGGGGCTGTGGACGGGGACCGTGGAGAGCGGGGGGACCCCGCGGCCGGGCAGCAGGGGGACCTGGCGTCTGCAGAGTGGGGGGACCCCAGCATCCGGGCAGCAGGGGGAACCTGGCGTCTGCAGAGTGGGGGGACCTGGCGTCCGGCGACCGTGGAGAGCGGGGGGACCCCGCAGCCGGGCAGCAGGGGGACCTGGCGTCTGCAGAGTGGGGGGACCTGGCGTCCGGGGACCGTGGAGAGCGGGGGGACCCCGCGGCCGGGCAGCAGGGGGACCTGGCGTCTGCAGAGTGGGGGGACCTGGCGTCTGGGGACCGTGGAGAGCGGGGGGACCCCGCGGCCGGGCAGCAGGGGGACCTGGCGTCTGCAGAGTGGGGGGACCTGGCGTCCGGGGACCGTGGAGAGCGGGGGGACCCCGCGGCCGGGCAGCAGGGGGACCCGGTGTCTGCAGAGTGGGGGGACCCCAGCATCCGGGCAGCAGGGGGACCCGGTGTCTGCAGAGCAGGGGGACCCCGCGTCCGGGCAGCGGGGGGGGCCTGGTGTCTGGGGACCATGGAGAGCAGGGGGACCCCAGCGTCCGGGCAGCAGGGGGACCTGGCATCCGGGGACTGTGAAGAGTGGGGAGACCCCTGTGTCCGGGGACGGTGGAGAACAGGCGGACCCCGGCATCCGCTGTTAACCTGATTATATAGGGCTGATTTATTATAGGCTCGCCAGTGATCTGACCAGCAGATACTTAGGTTCTTGTCCCAAAATCAGGCTACAGAATTTGCGAACATCGCGAGTTCAGTACATTCAACTATATGAGCGAGTAACCAAAGCTCTGAACCACGGAGCCACAAAGACGTTGTCCTGCTCTAGCTTGTCTGGCGGTTTACTCTCTCACAGCGTCCTGGCACGATCAAGAGTATCTGTATCCGTGCCCAGCCGTCCATGCCCAAATCTGATCTCCTCTCCCGGATAAATCTTGGGGGATGTTTACTCCATGGGCTGGCACCTTCTCACATAGTCACACACATATTCACCTCGAGTATCTTGTTCTCAAAAGCGTTTCCTTTGGCCTGAGCCGTTACTTCCACGTCCTTGCGGTTACCGGTCCACCCCAGTGTATTGGTAAACACATTTGGTTCCCCATTTGGAATCACAAGGGGTAACCGGTGGGCCATTTCTCTATGCCAAAGGTTATAGACTAACTCTTGTGTTAACTCGCTCTAGCTAATCAGACAGGATACAGGCCTGCAGGTTCCTTGTGTTACAGCTGAATCGAATGAGATAATGGCTGCTGAAATGGAAAAACCAAAATCATATAATTGATCAAACCGATTAAAAAAACCCAACAGATTTTATAATATAGCAAGCTAGGAAAGTAACTCCATGGGCTACACCGGGCAGGGTGGGGACCTGGTGTACGGGAACCGTGGAGAGCCGGTGGGACCCTGGCATCCAGGCAGCGGGGGACCTGGTGTCTGGGGACCTGGAGAGCAGAGCAACCCCAGTGTCCGGGCATCTGGGGACAATGGAGAGTGGGGAACCCAGGTGTCCGGGCAGCAGGGGGTCCCCAGTCTCCAGGCAACGGAAAAGGAGGGAGGACCCAGGCAGCAGAGGGACCCAGATGTCCGTGGACTCATGAAGCAGGAGAGCAGGTGGGGGGGTTGTAAGGAGCACCCTAGTATCAGAATAGAACCCAAGAGTCCTGGCTCCCAGCCCTGCCCCCCCTGGTCCAGCCCCCGCTCCCCACCCAGAGCCGGAATAGAACCCCGGAGGCCTGGGGATTGAGCTGATGTGTCCCCCCTCTCTCTCCTCCCCCCATCTCTGCCCCCCACAGGCATCAACCAGGGCCAGATGACCTACGAGGGCCAGCACTGGCATGCCACTGATGCCTGCTTCTGCTGCACCCGGTGCCGGCTGCCGCTGCTGGGCAAACCCTTCCTGCCCAAGGCGGGGCAGATCTTCTGCTCCCGGGGCTGCAGCCTGGGGGGGGACGACGCCAGCGCCTCGGACTCCTGCGACTCGGCCCTCCACGGCCCCCGCCCCCAGGACGGGCACCGGGCCCCCCCCCGCCCGCCGACCACCCGTCGCCCGCTCCATCTCCTTCGCCGGCCGCACGGCCCCAGCCCGGGGTGCAGACCCCGGCGGGCGGCGCAGCTGGAGCGGGACCCCTGGGGCGGAGGAGGGGGGCGAGCTGGCCGGATGCACCTCGCGGGGCACCTCCACCTGCCCAGGACCCCCAGAAGAGGAGGAAGGAGGTGAGGCTGGGGAGGGATCCTGATGGGGGGGAGGCAGGTGGTGTGGGAAGCGCAGACGGGTTGGGGATCCAAGCGAGGGAGAAGGCGGGGGATGTGGGGAGCGCAGATGGGTGGGGGGGGAGGCGGGTAGTGTGGGGAATGTAGACGGGGGTGGGAGGCAGGTGTGGGGGGGGGAGGCGGGCAGCGTGGCAGCTTCTGTCTCTAACCCCCCCACCCTGGTCTCTTCCCCCCCAGGTTCTGAGTCCCGCTTCCTGCGCGGCGTCCCCCACCGACACTCCATGCCCGAGCTGGGCCTGGCCCCGGCCAAGGGGGCCGACTGGACCAGCAGCTCTGCCTCCAAGCTCTCGGTCTCCCCCCGGCTCAGCCAGGGCCCCCCGCTGGAAGACAGGGGGGCGGGGGGCTTCCCGCGGGGTACCGCCCCCCCGGGTGAGCTTCCGGGAGCCCCTGGTGGCAGGAGAGCCGGGGGGGCCCCACAGCAGCCAGCTGCATCAGAGCCGGCCCCGCACCCGGCCCTGCTCCTCCTCCGACAACGCCCTGCACCTGGCAGGGGAGGGGGAGCCCGAGGGGGGGCTCCCCCCGGAGGATCAGGGCCGGGGGGGGCGGCCCCTGGTCTGTTCGGCCTCGGAGGGGGCCTTCCTCCCCAGCCACCGGCGCCGCTACCTCCGGGGCCACGGTGGCGCCTGGCGCTGCTACTCCTCCTCCTCCTCCTCCTCCTCGGACTCGGAGGAGGAAGGCTTCTTCCTCGGGGAGCCAATCCCCCTGCCTCCCCACCTGCGGGGCGGGGCCGGCCCCCCGCTGGCCGCTGCAGCGGGGCCCCCCCGGCAAGGAGGGGGCAAAGGGCACCAGGGGCTGCGCGGGGCTCGGGACAGGAGCTGCGTGGTGGCCTGAGTCGACCTTTGAACTTCGACCCTCCTGCTGGCAACGACCTCTCCCATGTGACCTGTCCACGGCGGCCTCTGACCTGCACTCGTGACCTTTGAACTTTGACCCCCGGCTGGCAACCTTTGACCTCTGCTTGTAGCCTTCTGTCCTTGCTCACAACTTATGAGCTTTGACCTCTCCGGTGTGGCCTCTGACCTTTCCTTGTGACCTTTAGACTTTGCCCTCTTTGCTGTGAGCTCTGACCTTTAATGGTCACCTTCCATGGAGGACCTTTGAACTTTGACCTTTTCTGGAGTCACCCCTGGGACTCTCAACGATTGGCTCCTGCATTGGAACCTCTGACCTTTTGATCTGTGACCTTTCCAGCTCTATGACCTTTGTGACCTTTCATCTGGAATCCTCAGCCATTGACCTCTGTGGTGACCTCTGACCTTTGCTGTGAATGCTCGGTGGTTGGTCTTTCCACTATGACCGTAACTCGTCACGTATCACTGGGGACCTTTGGACTTTGACCTTTCTGCTGTGACCTCTGACCTTGTTCACCTGGGATGTTTGCACTGTGACCTTTCAACTTTAACCTCTGGCCAAGAATCCTGGGGCAAAGACCTCTCAACAGTGACCTTGACCCTTGTCTTTGCCCTGGGGCTGTGGAAGGTTGGACCTCGCCTGTGTGATCTTTGACCTCTCCTCAGGGACCTATGAGCATTGACCTACCCATTGTGACCTTTGAACCCTACTCAGGATCTTTGCATCGGTGACCTTTGAACTCTGGCACCTTTCCACTGTGGCTGGTTAGATTTGGTGGTGACCTTTGACCTGCTGGTGGTGAGCTTTCCCTTGTGGCCTTTGACCTTTCCACTGTGCCCCTTGACCTTTGGCTGTGAACTTTGACCTCTAGCCCCTGAAAAATGCCCTCCCATTCTCACCCTTTACCTTTGGCTGGGAGCTTTGCACTGTGACTTTGGGGCCCTTGACCTGTTGACTTTTGCGCTTTGACCTTTCACCCCCTCACATGATTTTTGGGGGATCATCATTGACCTGTGACTTGTCCATTGTGACCTTTGAACTTTGATCTGGGAGGGGGGTCAGCAGGATTTTGGCTTTTTTTTTGGTGTGTTCCCCCATTTAGATCAGGGGTTTTTTGATTGTTTAATAGTGGAACATTTGGGGGGTTCAGTTCCCACCCTCCAGACCCCCTTGGGGGCTGCGCTCGGGGGCAGGTGGAGGGGGGGTTTCAGAGAATAGGGGGGTACAGTTATATGTGGGGGTACACCCTGTACTGGTCTCAGTACAGAATTGGGGTCCCCAATGTGTCTGGAATTTAACCTTCCAATTTGTTTTTCTCTTAAAGGGTTAATTTAAAGGGGAAAAAAGCAACCTTTTAATAAAAGAGCCCTTTAAAACCTGGATCAGAGTCTGAGCCGTCCCCTTGTGGCGTTATACGCTGCTGTTCCCCAGATGCCCCGCCCCAGAGGTGGCTGCATCTCAGCACCTGGCGAGCAATGGAGGGAGTTATTTCTTTTCCTGGCAGTAGAGGGCGCCCGTGTCATTGCAATGTGATAAGTGATAAGGCCCGATGGGACCTGTGTTTTAACAGAAACTGGGGAGGGGGGAGCCAGGCTGTCTGGGCCCATGGTTCTCAGCCGGGGTAGATGGGACCTCTGACCCCACCCCCAGTTCAGAACCCCCTTTTAGTTACCTCTCCACCCCCCTCCCCCGCAACATCACTGGGATCAAACAAAACCATTTATCAGTATTTTTATTAACCCTTTTCCCCCCCAAATAAGCAGAAATTAACACAAGCCACATGCAGGATCGGGGACTGGGGAGGAGGGGGGAACGTGAAAGGTTTTTGGGGGGAAGTCAGTGCCCTGAGCGTCACCACACGAATCCCCCCATGTGACATTCCCCACCCAGTCCCCCACCCTGGGGCCGGTTTCCTTGCATTAAGTTTAATTAATTTTAAAAAATCTCCTCCTTATATTAAAATTTATTTCCCTTGAATACATCCCATGGGCTCCGGTTCTGGTAGGCCCTATGTAAACACATGGGTCCTTCTGCCCTAAACAGCTGGCAATGTAACACCCGTTAGCGCAGAAGAAACTGAGGCACAGAAAGAGTAAAGGCACTTGATAAGGAATAAGTGGTAGGGACAGAAAGCACTAGACCCCGCTACCTGCCCTGAGCTGGGGATAGAACCCAGGAGTCCTGGCTCCCAGCAATCCCACCTCCCCGCCCACACCTGTTCAAAACCACTAGACCCCACTGCCCTCATCCTCACTCCAGCCAACCTAGGAAAGTGGGGGTGGCATTGCTGGGATGGGGGACTGGCTCCCCCCATACGATCCCCATTGTCAAGGCTTCTAAACATGGGTGGGGTGGGGCCCTGAGGTCAGGGCCGGAATTGGGGATGGGGAGCTGGAGGGAGATTAGTTGGGGGTGGGGGAAATCTCTTATTTGCCCCCCCCCCCCAGCAGTATGTACAAGAATCCTTAGAAACAGCGAGGTGGTGGGGGGCAAAGACAGCAAAGTGGAGGCTGGGGTCGTGCAACTCTTCAGACAGCCTCCGGGGATTCTGTAAGGAGAGAGAGACCACAAGGGGGCATTAGAGTCAGGGATCACCCCCTATCTTCCCTCGTCTAGCCCCCCGACCCAGCCCCATGGTCGGGCAGGGTCGCTCTCTCCCATCTAGCCCCCCCCCCCCCGGCCCCGTGGTGAGGCAAGGTCGACCCCTCCCAGCTCCATGGTGGGGCAGGGTCGCCTGCTCCTGTCTAGGCCCCCCATCCTGGGGAGTGGGGGCACTTACCAGTGGGGGCAGCTGTGTGGGTTTTCCGGAGGGTGGGGAATGTAATATAGGCATCATATGCAAACAGGATGCCGGCCAGGAGCCCAAAGACCTGTGCGGGATGGGACCAAGCGGTAGTTAATTGCAGTATCTGTTGATTGCAAGTAACGAGCAGAGGATTTGCAGTGGGAAGCACTGCTAGCATCCAGGGTTGTGGGGGGCGGTTCAAGGCCCCTGGATCAAGAGAAGCAAAAGATTCCCCCCTCCCCAATTTTGGGCAGTTTGCCTCATTTCTTCCCCCACCCCAACATTATGATGCGGCCACCTCTGGGGTCAGGCATGGCAGCTGATTGCAAGGAATGAATGACAGACATGCTGCAGCACAGTGCCCCCTATTGCCAAGGCCAGCACTGACTGGTGGACAGTGTCCCCTGCTGAGCCCCATGGGGCCCCCCAGCGCCCAGCCCGGACTTGCATGGGAGAGCACCCCCTGCTGAGCCCCCTTGCCCTGCTCCCTGCCCCCACGGTGCCCTCCAGCGCCCGGTCCTGGCTGCCAGGGGAGCCACAGTTGCTTTACCCCAGCTGCGATCCCAGCTCCGTCCCTGTGGCGAATGACAACGATGAGGGAGGTGATGAGGAAGAGCAAAGCACCAATCACAGCACGGATGAAATCCTGGGGAAGAAAGAAACGGAAGGTAAGAAGCAAGAGAGATGCACCGACCCGTCTTTGGTACGATGCACTTGACCTACATTAACGAAGTTTTTGGCACAGGAACTTCCTTGCATTTTAACGGGCTTTTTTGGCATAAGAATGTGCTTGCATATTAATAAATAAATGAAATTGGTTGCAGGAAATTGTCAGTTTAACAAAGCTTCCTGCATAGAAATTTCTTTGCATTTGTATGGAGTTGTTTCCATGGGAATTTCTATGCCTGTGATAAATTAATTAACTCGTTTGCACAGAAATTTCCTGGCAGATGAATAACTTGGCCACTTTTTTATCTGAATTTCTTTGCATTTTAACAAATTTCCCATGGAAAATCCTTGTATATTAAGAAATTAACCAGGGTTTCATGGGGGCATTTTCTCAGTATATTAACCCCTTTAATGGACTTGGGTTTTTTTTACATTGGCATTTCTTGTATGTTTGGTTTTACCTTAATATTTTTTCCCTATGGCAATTTTTTCATTTATTTATTCTAAATTAACAATCTGCATGTGTAGCAATCTCTTTGGGGGTCACAAATCCGCCTTTAAGAATTTGATTGCATTTTAACATAGGTTTTTGTGCTGTAATTTTCTTGCATGTTAATCCATTAAAACCAGTTTGTTAGGGGAACTCCCCCCTTTTTAAGGGTTATTCAGAACAGCGGATTGTACGGCCACCCCGAAGAAGATTACAGCTGCATGTTACAGCACCCCACAATGGTGTGAATAGAATAAAACTCCTTACGCTCCAGCCCCAGTGCACAAAAGCCAGCTGCTTGTTTAATCCTAGGGTGTAGATGATGAAGAAGACGATGGAAAACACCATCTCGAAGATGGCTAAACCCGTGTAACCAGGGGTCCAAGACGCACCGTAGCAGATCAGGATAACAATACAGAGGCCCTGGGTGGGGTGGAAATGGACAAGAGTTAGGAAAATTCTTTAGCCACTGCTAAGATGCAGCCACCTCTGCAGCGCGGCAGCTGGGGACCAGCCGCGCTTAACGCCGCTCAGGGATGGCTCGCCCGGTGTTCAGAGGCAGCTGGGGAACAGCCGTAGACTTTTGGGACAGGACGTGAAAGAGGGAGAATCTTGTTTCCAGTGGCAGCTCCAGGGGGGTGAAAGGAAACCGAATGGGAGCGTCCCTAAAGTGGGATATGGCCCGGACGCCGGGGTTCCCATCGTGAACATACAGGGAAGGGATAAAGCGGGTAATGAGCAGAACGGGTTGGGGCCCCAGGTTTAGATATTTAAATAAGCACAGCACCCCCCAGCATTGCCCAGCCCCCTGCTCCCCCCAGCACAGCGCCCCCCAGCACCTAGATCTGCACAGCTCCCTGCTCCCCCCAGCACAGCGCCTCCCAGCACCTAGATCTGCACAGCCCCCCCGCTCCCCACAGCACAGCACCCCCCAGCACCTAGCTCTGCACAGCCCCCCTGCTCCCCACAGCACCTTACCCAGCTCTGCCCAGCCCCCAGCTCCCCACAGCACAGCGCCCCCCAGCTCTGCCCAGCCCCCTGCTCCCCACAACACAGCGCCCCCCCAGCCCCGAGCTCTGCCCAGCCCTCCTGCTCCCCACAGCACAGCGCCCCCCAGCACCCAGCTCTGCCCAGCCCCCCCCCTGCAACCCACAGCACAGCCCCCCTGTTACCCACAGCACCGCCCAGCACCCAGCTCTGCCCAGGACCCCCGCTCCCCACAGCACGGTACCCCCCAACACCCAGCTCTGCCCACCCCCCCTGCTCCCCACAGCACTGCACCCCCCCCAGCACCTAGCTCTGCCCAGCCCCCCCCCCTGCAACCCACAGCACAGCCCCCCTGTTACCCACAGCACCGCCCAGCACCCAGCTCTGCCCAGGACCCCCGCTCCCCACAGCACGGTACCCCCCAACACCCAGCTCTGCCCACCCCCCCTGCTCCCCACAACACAGCGCCCCCCCAGCCCCGAGCTCTGCCCAGCCCCCCCTGCTCCCCACAGCACAGCACCCCCCCGCTCTGCCCAGCTCCCCCGCTCCCCACAGCACAGTGCCCCCCAGCTCTGCCCAGCCCCCCCAGTCCCCACAGCGCGGTGCCCCCCAGCACCCAGCTCTGCCCAACCCCCCCCGCTCCCCGCAGCCCGGCGCCCCCTCGGAGGGGCAAGGGGGTGGTTGGAGAGTCTGAGTCACGCTGGTTCCAGTAGCTGCAAGACGGGGCGTCGCTTCTCTGCCAAGGGCCTGACTCACCCGCCGCTTTCCTGGATGTGCCTGGGGAGAGGGTCTCTTGAGAGAGGGCAGCGGGGGCTGGTGGTTAGAGCAGGGGGCCGGGAGCCCGGACGCCTGGGTTCTCTCCCCAGCTCGGGGAGGGGAGCGGGGGCTGGTGGTTAGAGCAGGGGGCCGGGAGCCAGGACTCCTGGGTTCTCTCCCCGGCTCTGGGAGGGGAGTGGGGGCTGGTGGTTAGAGCAGGGGGCCGGGAGCCAGGACTCCTGGGTTCTCTCCCCGGCTCTGGGACAGGAGCGGGGGCTGGTAGTTAGAGCAGGGGGGCCGGGAGCCAGGACTCCTGGGTTCTCTCCCCAGCTCTGGGAGGGGAGTGGGGGCTGGTAGTTAGAGCAGGGGGGCCGGGAGCCAGGACTCCTGGGTTCTCTCCCCAGCTCTGGGAGGGCAGTGGGGGCTGGTGGTTAGAGCAGGGGGGGCCGGGAGCCAGGACTCCTGGGTTCTCTCCCCAGCTCTGGGAGGGGAGTGGGGGCTGGTGGTTAGAGCAGGGGGCCGGGAGCCAGGACTCCTGGGTTCTCTCCCCGGCTCTGGGACAGGAGGGGGGGCTGGTGGTTAGAGCAGGGGGCCGGGAGCCCGGACGCCTGGGTTCTCTCCCCAGCTCTGGGAGGGCAGTGGGGGCTGGTGGTTAGAGCAGGGGGCCAGGAGCCAGGACTCCTGGGTTCTCTCCC